CCGATACTGACCTAAATTACTGGATCGGATATCAGAGAGAAATAAAAAATGTAATCCGATCCATTAAATATCAGGAAAGCACCTCACAAAACTTGCAACATGCTGTAACTCGCCTCATAACCTTAGCACTTCGGAGCAGTATGCATCGGGTGATAGAGCGGCTGTGGCCTGCCAGACCTGTCAGTGGTCTGGTTGAGCATTTGGAGCTTCGCTACCAACCCGGCATTTCATCTCCGACAAAGTTATCCCCGAGAGAAGTAAAGCAAGTGTGTAAGTCCATCTCTGAATGTTTGTACAGCATTCCCACGTTAAGCTTAACAACCGATTTATGGAGCTACTGCCTCTTCTCTACTACTCCGCCTAGGCTGCACTGTCGAGCGCAGATCCACTGAGCGCTCAACACAGACAGCATCGTCAGAAAGAAGAGCGCAGGGCAAGCTAGCGAGACAGAAGTTAAGCTCTCCTTGCAACATGGAAAATTGAACCTCCCCCACCCTCATTCAGATCTGGCGTTTGGAATTATTTTGGTTTTCATGTGACGTATGACCCTGAAGGTAAGCGAGTCATGGACTAAAGTAAAACAGTATGTTGGATGTGCCACGCACTAGTGTGTTAGCGCAGTTAGCTCGTTAACGTGTTGGCCGTCTAGCCCCACGCACTGAGATTAACGAGATTAACGCTGACAGCACTAGTGGGAACACAACGAATATGACTGCACATTTATGCCGACATCATCCTAGTGCAAAGACAAGTGGAAGAAGACAAAAACAACAAGCATGCATGCTACAAACTTTACCTGAGTCATTTAGACAGCCGTTAGCACATGATTCTCCTTATGGGGACCTGATATGTTTAATATTGTGGCGAGCTCAGACAAGGAGGAGACGGAGGTGTCGTTTGGTCTTTCTTCCCGTGAGCTAGCCAGGGAGCACAGCCGTTTATTGACATCTGCAGAAGAACACTGCCGCTAGCTAACTGCTCAGCGCGGCAACAGCACAGCAACAACAACAACAACAACAACAACAGGGCGCCCTCTGACCCCGGAAGGACACACCGTCGCAGCGAGAGGGCATCACCCGTCACTATGGCAACATAAACAAAACATAACTGTACAAACAGAACCCCGAACAGCCCTGACCCGCTACAATATGCTGCTGAGAATATAGCCCAGAAGAAGCGTATAGTATAGCTTTTATTTTGGAAAGAGCCATTTCTCTGTAATAAACTCTCTTTTCCAAAGATGAGTGATTCCTCAATCAGATACAGGGCTTGCAAAATCACTAGCCCAACGTCTGTTTTACAAATTTGGAAGATCCCAAGAAGTTTCTCTAGGTATGTTTGTTTTTTGTAAGCATGTTTGAGATAAATTAGATAAAAAAAGCTTTCCGTCTTTCTCCAAAAGTCCATGATAATATAATATAATATAATATAATATAATATAATATAATATAATAAAGATATATTAGGTAGTTTTCCCCTCACTCACATTCCTCCAGTTCAAAAAGTCTACATCTGTTGGCTTAGAAAAAAAAAATAACCTTGTTAGAAAGAAAACTTTTTCCTCTGTGATCTGAGGGTAAAATTATGGCTGTAAAGTAAATGTTCCTCAATGGAAAAGGTTAGAAATGAGAATATTAGAGGGGCAGCTCAGGTTGAGCAGTTAGGACTCAAAGTTAGAAAGGCAGGGTTGAGACGGTCTGGACATGTGCAGAGGGCTGGATGTTGAATATGCAGCTGGTAAGGAGGAGGAAGGTTTATGGATGTGCAGGAGTGAATGAGAACATGGAGAGGGTTGATGTGGGATGCTTGGTGTAGAGATCCCATCCCATAGCAACAACTGTAATGCCAAAGAGGTCATTTCTTGAAGACTTTAAGCTGTTAATTTTCATATTTTTTCTATTCATAAGCAAGATTAGACAAAATAAGTATTAAAGATTAAGTTTCTGAAAATGTCGTAGGTTTCACGAATGGTTATTTCATTACACATCATAAAGGTAAATATGTATTGTATGTATGTAAAATTCACCAATAAGCAAATTTTACATCTAAATAATTGATATAGAAGAAGATAATTATGGAAAAGTCAAAAGTGAATTTTGGATAACAGGTGGCATTAGTTACACTAAAAAAAACCAAAAAAAAAACTACAACAATAAATGAAGAAAAACTCTCACTGCTAAATTTATTGAACAGGTCATTGTCTGCATTTTAAAACTGACCTCAAAATTAGGACACATTTTAATACATTATTTATTGTAAAAGTACAACAGTAAAAGTTTCTCACACCATCTACAACTGCCTGTGCTTCATTGGATACGCAGCCTTTCTCTTTCATTAAGCATCCACAGTGCTGCACCTCAGTCGGCAGCCTTTGAGCCTCTCAGCTTTTCTCCTGTTTGGGACTGAAACCTGTCCGACTCAGCTGCTGTGGATTTCCGGAGTCTGCTCACTTCATCTATGGCTCCCCTGCTGCTCTGTGCAACCAGCAACCTAGGTGTGGCTAGGCAGTCTGGCTAGGCAAAATTACCTTTTTATACCAATTTCTATATGGTCAAAATGACATTGTCATCTTTCTATCCCTATTACCCCCAAATTCACTATATAATGAATAATTCAATTTTTGAAAAAGTAATGAAACATGAGATCATGGAGTTTAATTGCAGAGAGTTACACTATTTTTAAAATGGCCTCAAAATGACCTCCGTCTTGGTTCTTGTGTTAAATATTTAAAACTGTGATGTTTCTCTTTTAAACTGGTTTAAAACATCTGGAGAGAAACAGAAATTGACATTTCTATTGTAAAAGGTTGAAAAGCAAATTTAATTTGAGGCTTATCTTAACATGGTCATGAACTCCAATAGCTAACTGGCAACATTTAACATTTTTAAAATCAGAGATATTCTGAGCATACTTTTATTTTTCTAAAATTAAGAAGGGGCTTTAATTTTTTAAAAGGTTCATAGCATTAACAGTTTCATATTCTTTAACTGTAAAACATGTTTATGCTCATCTAGATTTGCCACAAATTCTATTGAGGTGCTTTAAAGTGTGCAAATCTGAATAATTGTTTTGTTTGCTTAGCATTAAAAATGTGGTCAGGGGAGCAGAAATTAAAAAGGAGGTTGTTTCAACTTTTCTTTACTGTAGCCTTCTCATTTACTTGAATGGAGAAGGAATTTTAAGGATCTTTTATGGTTTTTCCGTTTTTTATTTTATTTTTAAAGGCATAAAAGGTTTACTGGAAAAAATGACAGCATTGGTGTAAATAGTGTATCTACAACAAAGGTGTGGAAAGCAATGGGACAAGAGTAAGAAGGGAGACAGATTAAAATCAGTGTTGAATGAATTTTCTGGCAAAAATTACATGTGAGTACTGAAAGCTGAAATATTTTGCCTGCAATTGTCTGAAAAGGAAAAAAAGACTGGACAGCATTTGTTGAAATTACTGTTAAAAATGGAAATAATTATAAGAGCTATAATTAGGAGCTACAGGGCATCAAAAACAAGAAGGCTTTGGTCTTAAATTATTTTGTCTCCATGGTACTGAATGACATTACCTCAGGAAAAGTTGAATGAACCCAACAATCATACAACGAAAAACTATCATGGTGCTGAGTCTTTGACCCATTGATTTGAAATTTATTGTGGATGCATCATTCTTCTTTTATTTTATTTTATTTTTTTTACAGTAAGAGATGATTTATGTTCAAGCTCTTTGAACTTTTTTGAGGTTTGTTCCTCCTTGTGCCTCTGAGATTGTTATCTATATTTCTGGTTCATGGATTATGTTTGTCTCCCTTCGGTTCCAGTCTGTATTTTTATAAGGTTATGTAGCCTTTTGTTATCATCATCTTTCCCTTTCTGTCTCGTCAGTCAATCATGTCTTCATGTTTATTTATTGCCTGTCACTGTATCACGTTCATATGTTTTAGTACTGGTCTCAGTCTTTGTTACTTCCTGTTTTATTTTGATAGCCCCTCATCTCGAGTGGATTGCGTTTAGTTTTGGGTCCCGTTGTCTCGTTAATCAGATTCCATTCAGCTATGTTCCCTGGTGTTTCCCTGATGTGTATATATTGTTTGCAATGTAGTCCCTTGTGGTTGTGTCTTCCCTTGCAGTTTGTGCTCTCTGCTGTGAAGTTTGGATTTTCCTTGTTTTGGACTTTTTAGTTTAATGAAACTACCTTTAATTTACCCTTTGTGTTTCTGAATCATGCATTTGAGTGCTGCTACTTAACCAGCCTTGTTAAAAACTCGATAAACAGAAACTTAATTTGTTGAACCAGGTTAATTTCATTCTGTTACAAAAACAGGGGTAAAAGTAGCTGAAGACTGTAATGAATTAAACAAAAAAAACCTGAACAACACAAATTTAGATCTTCATTAGACCAATGAACATTCAGATGGGAAGAATGAAGTTATATTAATTCAAAAATGTTCCCTGTTTTAACTCATTATTGCTGGGTTGGTTTTTTTTTCCAGTTTCTGCTCAAGGATTGTTAATATAATTCTCAAAATTACTTTTGACAAGACTCACGGTGAACCTGACATTATATTTTTCATGGACAACAAAGCTGAACTGTGTATGAAATATGGGAATTTGTTTTTCATAAGGTATTTAAAAGAGAAAAAAATTATAAAATTATTACTCCAAATTACATCTGTTGGAAGGCTGTTGACAACTGGGGGGAAAAATAGCTCCTCCTTCACAGTAAACTTGCACCAATAAAGACTGCACACCTGAGGTAGGGTGTACAGCTTTCTTCATTCTTACAATTTAAGTTCCCATGTTTGGAGCTTACTTAAACTCTGTGATTCACAGTTTTGTAAAAATAGGATGACTCCTTGAACAATACAACAGGTTTTGCTTCTATACTTTCTGTTACTACATGCAGCTGAAGTGGTGAAATCAATTTCCAGTATGTTTTGCAAATATGTTCAAATCACCATTTTTTCAGTGGTAAGTGTGTTTGTATTTGTCAGCTAAGCTTGTTTTCTCACCGTGGTGGTTTTCACTCTGCCTCCTGGTTGAGTGCAGGTCCAGCCTGACTGATTGACCAGGAGATTACAGCCTTCATCCTCTAAGCACGGAGTCATCTCACACCACTGTCGACTCGTGATGATACGAACTGAGGAGGACGACAAGAGGAAGAAGAGGTAAGTATGCTTGAGCTTCAATTTTAAGTTTTTACGTTATTTGTGTTTTTTCATCAGCATCTTATGGCTGAACAACCCCCCCCCCCATCTCCTTTATCATAAATGATGATCTTATTCTTGTTGATGTTCCTCCTTTTACTCCTAGACTGTTAATAATGAAGAAATAAGTGCAGATACACAACTGTATTTGAAAATTCTACATAATCTGTAATCTATATTCTGCAATGGCACTCCGAGTTTGCAGTGTTTGCATAGAGTGTACACACATGCTGCTGCACAGTGTCAGGTAAATAATTGTTGAACATACCAAGCTACTCATGCACAGTCTTTACAGAACATTGACAATTTTATTAAGATACACATACAAAATATAACAAGAAATACCAAGGGCTTTATGGTAAACATTGGTGAAATAACCCTTTAAAACAATGTTGCAGCAGATGTAGAGTAACAAGGGTTCTGTGATAGTTAACCTCTGTCCAGCATTTTCAGTCAGATGTGTGTAACTCTGGATCATGTCGAAAGAAGACCATCAAACATCTGTTATTAACAGCTGTCTGTGTTTTCAATTAAACACTATAAGTGGACAACACAAAATAATTTAATGTTTCTCATTATGCAAAGGAAATGTGAGGAAAAGGTGTCAAGGGTAAAAATAAATAAAGATGAACATTAGTCAGACATTTACATGCACTCATCATGTGCATAAATATCATGGTAATTTGGGCCTTACCAGATGATCAGAATGAAAGGCAAAAGCAGTCACTCTACACTCTACAGCTAATGACATGTGAAAAAGTTTTCAAAGAAACTGGAGTCCAGTTTAAAACTTTGCTCATAATTCAACAGCTCGTAAAACCATCTTTAGCAGCAATAACTCAAAGTAACCATTTTCTTTACATTGTCATCATTGAGTGATAGAGGGATTTTGGTCCACTCCTCTTTACAAAATTGTTTCAGTTCATTGAGGTTTGCGTGATCTGTTTAAATGCAACAATATTTCAATTGGGTTGAGGTCTGCACATCGCCTGGGCCATTTGAACACTTTGGTTCTTTTTTTTTTGTAGACATTCTTTTCTAGATTTTATTGTGAGGGTTATTTTTTTCTCTCTTGGGCATACAACAACAACAACAACAACAACAACAACAATAAAAATCTCCTTCAAAAACATAACAAAGAACATAAGAGGTTTAACCTAAAAATCCCCCCAATCACAATCTTATTAAATATCCTAAAGGTCTTAAAGGATGTGCTGCTAATACTATTACAGTAGATCTTTAAGAGGTCTTGCAGAGTGCATATCTGGACAAGTGAAAGCAGCTGTGGGAGCATGAGGGTTACTTACCAGGCAAGTGGGTTTAATGTTGTGGCCAATAAATGCAACATAAAGGTAATCTAATGCAGTGTGCATAATTAATGTAGCATGACATAGCATGAACAAAGCTTATGACATGCCATATAGTATATTCTAATATATTATGTAAAATAGAATGACCTGAGTTATCAGCACTATGTGGAAAACACACACACACACACACACACGCACACGCACACGCGCACACACACCACTTCACTTGCAGGGATATTCCTGCTGTTTGAAGTGATTCTTTACTGACCCAGTCTTTCGGTTCTTGCTCTCATTCCTGGCACTAAATTACACACACTCTGAGCCATGTCTGGGGAAACACAAAGAAAATGAAAGACTGTAGAGGCCTGTAATACATAACCTGGTAATCAGTTCGCCCATTGGAGCAGTGGTGTGATTGTGATAGCCTGTGAGCCCCCAATTATCAAACCAATTTCCTACTGAACAACAGTAGCATTGCTCAGCCATTCTTACATCCCCTCACACCTCTATCCAGATGGAGAGATCCTTCAGGAGGAGGAAACAGTTCAGCTTCAGCAGCTCATTTTTATTGAAAATCTTATTATTAGAATTTAGGTTTAGGACACAATATAAAATTACAAAGATTAGTATGGTTGTAATTTAAAATATAAATCTCTATAAAGATTTCTGGCCTTTGTTGGAAATGGAGTATATTTTCTTGTTCCTGGTATCATTAATAGGAATAAATGAAAAATCATTTGTTGTCATATTGAATGTATACTAGCAATATCATCTGTAGTGTGTAGGATGACTTCGCCTTCTTCTTGATTTCTAAAGTTAAGGATAAATTGGTGGTGGTCGATTAGCCAAAGAGATGAAAAAAGTAGACAAGAGTACTGGGAGTTTAGGCGTATGGGAAACAGAGAGGTAGCAAAGACATTGAATTGTATGTGATGTTGAGGAGTAAAGGACTTGTATCAAGCTGGAAAAGATGTGCAGAAGATTAGGGTGATTAACGATGTGGCTATTGAGATGAGCAGTGAGAAGACTGTGTTAAAAAGATGGAAGGAGTACCTTGAGGAGCTGATGAATGAAGAAAATCAGAAGAGGATGGATGGAGGACAGTTTCATGGTCCATAGCTCCATGAATTTGGAAAAAATAAGTGTGAGCTCAGTCGTGCTCCTGACCTAATGCAGCATCTTTGGATTTTGACTCTTACTCTTGAAAAAACCTTTTTTGGTCTCATGGGCAGAGACCAAGCTGTCAACACTAGCATCTGTCTTTGACATGAAATTTGGGTCAGTTCGACATCAAAGTTGACCTCTTCACAAGTTTAACGTCCAAGATGAAATTGTACGTGAAGATTTCCACAACTAGACTTACAGAAAGTGATCAACACAAAATTTGAACATAATAGGAATGCTTCACTTAGAGGTTTGCTTTTTGTAAGTTCAGTAATTTGATAATAATCAGACACTGTATTAGAGCCTAGTTATTTAAATCTAAAACATGAATTGCTTTCTAAATATCTGCTTACTATTATTATGTCTGCATTGTTTTAAAAAAGGGGGTTTCAAAACTTTAGATTTTTAGATCAAAAAAATGATTGAATTTCTTACTAAATTTTTGTTTAAATTAGTAGTTTTTATTTCCTCATGTATACCACATTCCCCTGAAAGTCTCTTAATGTCTGACCAATAACAACACAGGATGGATGAATGCATTTCAAGGTGAATTACGTTGCAGAGTGTAGAAAACAGGAAAAAGACTTTGAATCAATAGTGTGAAATGGAGAATCAGTGGATTAATAGCATGTATCGGTAAGTACCCGAACACCTGTGAGCGCTGCATCACTACTCTGACAAATTAATGACTGCAATGCAGATCCATCCACCACCGCCAAGCACAGTTCATTTATCCAGAAAGCGAGGAGGCCATTTTGTAATGACTTCATTCATCAAAGAGGGTGACCTGAAGGAGGGTTGCTCCTTTGTCTCTAGAGAATGAGACAATCCTACAGGAAAGAACACGTTAGGACTGAAGTGCAAATGAGGCAAACAAAAAATCTGTGCTAAACTTTAAAGTGGACACAGACACCTGTTTTACATGTTCTTTTTTCCCCCGGTTGTAAATACACTTTGAATTCCAGCTAAATGTTTCTCGCTTATTCTTCTCTACAATCTCCTCCGTCATCAGGTCTGATGCCGGTGCTGTCAGTGAATGTTTGTTTGTTAGGACTTGTTTGTTAGGACTTGTTTTACAGTCTCTGAATACTCTGGCTTTTTGACCTTTGGGTTCGTCTCCACCTGATGAGAAAGAAAAAGGTTTCTTTCACTCATCTGTTTGGACTCAGAGCCACGGTGGTTAGCACTGTTCTACCCGTGTTTTCGTGGGTTCTCTCTGGGTACTCTACCTAGGTAATAAGCACATCAAACCAATAGGTGTGAGTGTGAATGGCTGTCTGTCGTTAGTCATTGCGTTAGTCCTGCAACCAATTAGCGATCTGTCCAGGGTGTACCCGACTCTCGCCCTGTGGTAGCTGGGATAAGTGGAAGAAAATGGGTGGAAGGGCTCAGAACCACACAGTCTTTTTTAGTCATTACCAGGAGTAAGTGGTATTCTCAAAACTGTAACATTTTTTTTATTTTACTACTTAAATCATGGAAGAACAGCAGAGGAATAAAAAAAACGTGTTGACTGTTTACTTTTTATTCATTTCTGTGAGCATGAAATCCTTATAAAATTAAACACACAGTTTTAATCAAACTCATCCAGAGTTTAAATTTCAATTTTTCCATTCTCATAGACTTTGTCTATCTATAAATAGTTTATATAAGTCTGTGTGGATGTTGATCTTTTCCCTGAAACAGTGTGAGCTTTGGCTCAACTATCTAAAATCAACCCGAGTGGTTCCTGAGCAGAGCTATGAAAGGACGGATAAAAACAGACTGTGGTATGATTTTGCCCCCTGTGCTCTGCTGGTGTAATTCAGCAGCAGAAAACAATAAAAATTAAAGGCAAATGTTGCTTGAGATACAAGCTTGAGTTTTCATCCTCGCCTTTGCCGTTTCTGTTTGTTTTCACCAACCTTCTAAAATAAAGCTCACTCACATCAAAAGTTGCATCTTGGGTCCTATTCTCCTACTCCACACGTCTGCCATGCCTGAACTATTTATTTCGGCTAACAGAAAAGATAATGAAATGTTAATCGAGTTGCTTGTACTGTGCTGCAGGTTAAAATAGGAATTTGTTTTTCTATGTTACTCACATCGACAGTACACTGAGAAAGGGTTTTTTTTTGTTTTGTTTTGTTTTTTAATTTGCTAGAAATTAAAAAATCTGTGCTAAACTTTTAAATGGACACAGACACCAGTTTTAATAGGATACTGTGGTGGTGAAAGGTATGTCATCACCTGAGTCTCTGCTCTGGAGCAGGTTTTCTTGAAGTATTCCACTATTCACTACAGGGATGCTATTAGCAGGTGATGGGCAGTGTCTGGTGTTGAAAAACATAGTGCTCAGAGGTTGTTTTGTGTGAACACTGCAAAGAATCTTTGTTTGTGGTCTCAAAGATGTCATGCTTTTTCATTTTTAACTTGTAGTTCTATTCCTGTTAACCAGTAAATAATGAGATAAATAAATA